GCCTTTTCTTCATTTTTAGATGAATTGCCATGTTCTGATGGTTATGAAAAGTTGTTTTCTGTCATGTGCATAGTAAATACTCAAGCCAGTTTTATCTGCCAGTTCAGTGCCATTGCCTGTAGTACAGTTTATTGCTGTATAGGTCAGTAGGAAGAGCCCAGCAGCAGCTGTTTTGAAGCTCACCTCTTCTTTCATGTCTTGTTTAGACGCACTGGGAAGGCAGTAACGCTGGTCACTAAGAATGACTGGAGAGTTGCATCTGAGCTGATTGAAATTCTCGAAAGAGCAAACCAGGTAAGAACACATCTTCCTGGGTAAGATTCTGTTGGTTTTGTGTTACTGCCCGAAATGGTTCATGAAGGTCTAAGCCTACTTAAACCTTTCTTGATCAGTGTTTGTAGTGTCTTGGGCAAAAGAAAAGGGTACTTAAGTCTCTCTTGTCCTGGATGTGCTTGTCTGTATTTTTTACCTTACAGATGAGTCCCAGAAAAGAACTGGGAACTTTAATCAAAGCCTTCCGCATCGAAAGAAAAAGTAACTGACATACATAGGGGCCTGCAGGGGAATAATAGGATCTATTTTATTTCATAGTGTTTTAGTCCATTCGTATTGTGGATGCATGTGCCAATGTTCTTGTTTAAGTGTGAAACTTAACAATATTTACATCAAAAGAAGCTCAACTACCTATCAGTTTATTACATGAGAGTTGTGATACTTGCATGTACTTTTCCAAGCTGTCTTTCTTACATTTGTTTGTAAATAGTACAGGAAATAGGACTGGAGTGTGATTATTTATTGTAAAGAATTTTTTTTTCTTACACCGTATCTGAGAAGCCAGAGACAACTACGTTGCTGGTTTTTGCTATCACAAGAAATGGTATTTTGCCTGATGTATAGTAAAGCCCCGGTTCATGCCCTGACTTGAGTTGAATTATTAATTTTTTAAATTTTATTTTATTTTAAAATCCTGAGCAATGGGAGTTTGAGTACAAACTAAATTCCATTTACCTAGGACCTGCGGTGGTGGTTGTGAACACTTACTCATACTTTAAGCCCTGAGTTAGAACTTCAGCTAAATCTTCTGGTTTACAACTCTTCTTTGAAAGATTTTATGCCACTTACTGCAAACTTGATAAGATGTTTTTGGGGGAGGAAATGGAGAAAGATAAAGAAAGAACAAATAAACAAAAACACACCAAAAAACCCCAAATAGTTGTCTTCTGCCTTTTTCTATGTTCTGAGTTAGCTGCTACCTTCCATGCCTTGTCTTCTGCTGCAAACTGAAGTTCCTGAACTTTTTTAACATCTGATAGTTCAACTGGGAATGGGTCTCTGAGCTCAGAGGAGAAAAGAGCGTCTCTGAATCCTTGCTTTCCAGAGTAACCGTTAGTCACAACGTTATTCTCAGACTTTTAGTTATAGCTGATAGGAATCAAGTATCCATAGACGCAGGGGCCTCTTTTCCTCATGACAATTACAATGTCATTACTTCAGTCTTAAAGCGTCACGTAAAGGAGAAGGAGAGCGACTGAAAACATCATTGAAGGTTCAGAATACATCAGTGTCAAAACAAGTAAGGTGCATTTGTTAGGCAGATGCTTTCCAATATTTTGAATATACAGATAAGCTCCCTAAAGAAAAGCAGGTACAACAGAGGTTTCTGTATCATGCTGCAGGGATCTTTATATATAAAGCTTATTAAGAAGCACAGAGAGATTTATTAGGGAATCAGGTGGAAAAACACACATCTCCATAATACCAAAAAGAGTGTTACGTATGAATTATGGCATCTTTATTCTTTTCTGTTTTCTCATTTGGGCTACCATACCATATCTGGTACACAGATTGTTGATGTGAAAATCTTATCAAACCGTTGGATGCTGGATATTACTCACTGAGATTTTTATGTTCTGTATCCTGGCTTCTGCCCACTCTTTTCTTTTGCCTGCTCAAAAAATGCTCTTGCAAGAAAGTGTTGCAATGTTAGTTGGAATAAATTCTGTTTCGTGCTGTAGGAGAGATCTGATCTGATACTAAGGAAGAAAATTATCCAGTGTTTCAACTGAAAAACTAATTTGGTCTCGTTACTTCTATCTGTGTTGATACAAGTCTGTAATGACTTCAGCTGGAGAGATGCACAATTTTTCAGTTTATTTTTAAACTTAGGCAGCATAAACTGTTCAATAGGTGTCCTGTACTATGGACTCCTGACAGCCAGGCCAGTTATTTACCTGTAAGAGCACATAAAATACATGCTTTTGGTAAGAAGCTGGGAGAACTGACCATTTCCTCCTGCTTTTCTTGTTGGTTTTGTTTTCGCTTCCTAGGTAATGCTTTCTTTAAGTAACCAAGTTTCTCTTCAGAGACCCTTAAAACTTCCATGAGGAATTTAGAATCAGTCATAAAAATGTAATATTTTAGTGGCACTGGCCATTTTTTGCAGCTGTTTGTTATCATAGAAAGATTTCCATCTGAAATACAAATGTTTGAATTAGCTGGTTATATGTTGCCATTGGATATGGTGATACTAACATATATGCGTAGTTGAAAATCCAAGGACACTGTAGTGATTGGTTTTCAGTGTATTTTGGTGTAATTTTACGCATAAAGATATCTCTGTGTGTCTCTACACAAAAAACAATCTGCAAAGTGACAGGAGCCAGAAAAAGAACAAAATCAAGCTTGGGAGCACACAAATCAATAGCATTTCTGTAAAGCAGAGCCTAAAAGTTGAGATTGATTTAAAACTGACCTTGTTCTTGTGCTGCTGTCTTACCAGGTGGTTCCTAACGAGCTTATTGCAATGGCAGAAAGATACAGACAATTTCAAAGCAGAAGAGAAATGGAAAAGGATATACGAAGACCTCCAGGAAAGCTCTCAAAGTAACTGCAACCCTTGAACTTACTGAAACAAAGTAAGTATCAGGTGTATCAGGAGGGGGGTGGTTAGTAGGTCAAGAGAGGTTCTCCTCCACCTCTCCTCTGCCCTGGTGAGACCGCATCTGGAATATTGTGTCCAGTTCTGGGCCCCTCAGTTCAAGAAGGACAGGGAACTGCTGGAGAGAGTCCAGCGTAGGGCTACAAAGATGATGGAGGGAGTGGAGCATCTCCCTTATGAGGAGCGGCTGAGGGAGCTGGGTCTCTTTAGTTTGCAGAAGAGGAGACTGAGGGGAGACCTCATTCATGTTTATAAATATTTAAAGGGTGAGTGTCACGAGGATGGAGCCAGGCTCTTCTCGGTGACAAACAATGATAAGACAAGGGGTAATGGACAAAAACTGGAACACAGGAGGTTCCACTGAAATTGGAGAAGAAACTTCTTCTCAGTGAGGGTGCCAGAGCACTGGACCAGGCTGCCCAGAGAGGTTGTGGAGTCTCCTTCTCTGGAGACATTCAAAACCCGCCTGGACGCCTTCCTGTGTAACCTCATCTGGGTGTTCCTGCTCCGGCAGGGGGATTGGACTGGATTAGCTTGTGAGGTCCCTTCCAATCCCTAACGTTCTGTGATTCTGTGAAGTGTTAGCATCTATGGGGTTGAATGTAGAAGTTCCTTTTCTTGGTTGATTATTTTCTATACGTATCCCATTTAAATAAAACACATTTTTAAAATGTCTTAGAACTAAGAAAACCGGATTAACTTCATACAGAAATAAATCTGGTTTTGTACTTGAACATTATTTTAACTAAAGAAAAATTGATTTCATTATTTTTGGGGGGGTGTGTGTGTTTAGAAGTCTAAAGCAATTACCTACTGGTTAAAAACAAATATTGTGAGTTCGGTGGGTTTGCGGGTGGTTTTGTGTTGGTTTTAAATTAAATGCAGTATTAATATATAAGGCTGTAACATTTCTTTTTTCCTTTTATTTTCAGAGAACTGGATTAATGAATGTAAGCAATGTTTGTCAGTGTGGCTTCAGGGTACTGTACTTTGGCACTGATACCCAACACCTGCCAGGGACATGCAGAAGTATTTCCAAGGATAACTTAGTTATTTGAAAACTGCTGTTTGCAGTAACTGCTGTTTGCTGAAGCAAGTCTTTTTTTATTATTCTAATTTTAAACTTTAACATTGATGAATTTTTGTTAACCTTTCTCTCCAGCTCTTTTTGAGAGAAGTGTGCATTACCTTGTAATAGAGGAGAGCATAAAGAGAAGTCCTGTGTGCTCATGGCCAACTGGGGGGGGAAAAAAACCACTTTACTCTTTCTCATGGATGTAATTTTGTAGCATAAAGAAGAAAACAGAGTTTACTAGAGCAGTGTTAACAGAGCCGTGACAAAAGTAAATGCATGTGAAAATCAGCTTTTATTTCTTTCAGATAAAGTTGATTCAGATTTTACAAGTGGATGTCAGGTTCTGTCACAGCCTCCTGCTGATCTCGGGGTACGCTTTCACTCTTTGGAAGTTGTATGGGAAGGAGCCATTCCTTCGTTTGCTGTTTGGTCTGAACTTGTGTTTATTCACGTGTCATATGAGTCAATGAAAAACTAATAAACTGAATTGATGAAAACAGGTGAGAACGTTGTAGTAAAATTATTCTCCAAGTGTTCTGGCCTTCTCTCTTTATTTGCTCATAATTGAGGTGAATTCTCGGCATTACTTAAGCTAGCAGCTTATTTTGCCTTCAAAAAGTAGGCTAAAAATACAACCTTCCCATGGCTTCAAAAAGTCAATATTTAAGTAAATTGCCAAGTGTTGTCTATTTATCACCTGCACAGATGCCTTCACATTTGGAGTGCCAGGAGTAACAAGTGGGAATTTAACTGCAAAGTTAATTGCAAATTCTTGTACACATCCTTAGTTTATCTTCAAGGTATTTTGCAGGTGACATCTACATTGGGATAGGGAAGATAAATACAACTTTAAACACTCTATTTCTTAAAGGGTTATGTCCAAGTAGTGTGACTGATGTACGCAATTTTCTCTTGGTGTTCCTGATTTTGTTATTTGTAGTATCAGACTGCTTTAAAATACAGCCCCAGTTATTGTAAACAATGTTTTCAGTACCTCTCATGAAATATGGGGAATCCGTTGTTCAATTGCTCATTTATTTTTCTTGAAAGGAAAGCATTGCTCGCTTTGTTTTCCAGGCTGAGCAAGTTGTATTGGGGAATAAAAAAGTGTGGCAGCTGAGACTTTTTCAGGCAATCCAGAAAATATCCCAGGTATTTCTGAAAGCAGTGTTCCAGGTCTTCCCAGTGCCAGTCCGTGTCCTTCGGCCACATGGCACACGAGTGGAAAAAAGCAGTTTTCACATGATAGGAATAGAATTTTTCCAGCTCTTTTGTGTACTTCATTTTAAGTTGCTCTAGAAGATACTTCAGAAGCTTAAGACAGCCTTTCCTGTGAAATAAGGTAATTTATTAGGTACCTTCTACAAAGTCAGTTCTAAATATGTATGTATATAAATATGTATACGCTGCTAGGTAGGGGTGTAGCACGTCTGATAACATTAATAGAGCAATGACAAAGAACTATGCGCTAGTTCTCTTGTGGCTGTCTTAATTCAGCACAATATGTAATTAAGTAAACTAAGAAGTTGGTTTGCTCTTTAGGAGGTTCTGTACCTCGTGTGGGTTTTGTTCTTTCTCTTCAAAGATGTGGAAACCAGTTTTTATTCAAGAGAAAAATCACGTTTATTCATCCTGACCCCACTCAGCACTTCTTTTCTCACCATCACTTTAGAAACTGCCTTAAGTGTCACTTTTGCTCCCACTGCTCTGACCACTGAGTCAACGAACTTTTAAGCTGGCGCTTCTAAACAGGAGCGAGTTTGGGGAAGATTATTTAACAAGCAGCACCTTTTTGCTTTGTAAGTAGAGTATAACCCTGCAATGTGATTTATTTCCTCCTCATGGAGTAAATGCAAGGCAGACATTTGGCAAGCACGTGCAGTGGGCTGCAAGGATGCCTTAAAGCCTTAATTCTTGCTCCCTATTAGGAGTAATTTGAATAAATTCTTATATGTTAAACTGAAACAGTGCTGGCCTGGCTCACGTAGGCTTCAAGTGAAGCATCTGTATTTGAAATATTTACATTTGAAATACCAACCTGCAGCACTTTGATCCGTCGGATTCACAGCACGTCTTGGAGCTGCTGTGGTTGGTTATCATTGCCTTCTCAATATGGGAGAAAGAGAGTCGCCAAGTGTTCCCTGAAGTGGAGTAAAGGTGGTTAAATTGTTAAATTGTAAGAAAACAAAGATACTTTCTAATCAACTTAATTTAAATATCAGCAATTTCTTTGCAGTTAAAGAAAAAAATTGTAATTCAATGAGTATAATTAGTTAATTCCTCCCCAATTCCCCAGCTGCTCCACACAAACAAAATTAGAGTAAATATTAATACAAGACATAGTGAAGTGTCTGGATGTTTTACCTATCTTCTTAAGGATGTTTGGATTTACTTTGAAATTAAGCTTGATTTTTGAACCTTCCTGCATTTGTTGAACAGGATTTGGGGAATTGCACTGCTCACAGAAAGCTGCTACCTTTGGATTTCTGCTCTATATTATACCTTAGTGTATAACCGTTCTGCTTCTGAATTAAAATCTTCACCACTGCTTTTGATTTCTTTGTGCATGTAATGTGCTACTGAGGTTGTCTCAGTTTGACCATTCTAAAGCATTTATTTGTCATCTTTACCAGGTAATGTTTCTGAGAGCAGTGATTAACACAGCTCAGCCCCTGTTTTTAAAACACCAGCAGTCATTTTTGCCTTCCTGACCTAAGTTCGACTGTTTGGTTCCGTTACTCTTCACGTTTAATTTTTACAGGAAGAGATAGCCCAGTAGAGCAGTAATTATTTATTTGGCATTGTTAATGTGGGCATGCTAATTAAAAACACCTAAAAGAAAATACCAGATTGCCTTAACTTTTTGCCGAAATCATCAGTTCTTATAATGCAACAACAAGTTGGGAAGCTTCTGCAAACCAATGGTGTGGCCATACCGGAGTTCAGTGAGAAATAATGCATCTTGTTAGAAAAGTACAGCTTACTTCCTGCAGAAGGATATACCTTGTATATACAGCCCCACTTACAGGGATGTTCCCTGCCTTTTCAGAAATCTCCTTTCATTTATTAAAAAAAACCCCCAACAACAAAACCATCAAAGGAGTGGATGCTGCTGTTAAGTACAGCACTGGGACAGGAAAGGTCCATGCGACCCAGTCGAGGTGATCCTGCTCTGGCAGGGGTTGGACTGGATGAGCTTTCGAGATCCCTTCCGACTCCCAATACTCTCTGATATTCATGGTGTCTGACTTAAATTTAACAGAATGCCCTTAGGATGGTTATTAGACAGCCTGGCAGAGCAGTTTGGCCTCTAAATTGCAGTTCAGGACAAGCAGTGTCACAAATTTGATGTTCTAAAGAGGGATTTCCATTGTCTTTGACCTGGATATATCCAGGATAAGGCAAAGACCTGCACCTTGAAGGCAGAACGCTGAACAGAACCTAGACACCCTTGTAAGCAACCAAGTAGCAGAGAAGATATTTAATAACTTATTGTCTGGATTGGAGGTACCTCTTAGAACCTTGTCTTGTTTGTTTTGTTTGGCTACTAAATAAAGTGATTTATTTCTGAACTCTCGCCTGACTTTTGTCCCCAGCCACTGCTCAATTTTGAGGCCGTCCTGTGTGCTGGGCGGCCAGCTGTGCTGCACTTCCAGTGTCAAGATGATGTCCACGGATATTTCGGCTGGAGGATTTTTGATCTGAAGAGTTATTGCAGGGCTTCCAGGCTTTTGCCTTTTCACAGTGACTTCTACATCTGGTAATAAAGAAAAAAATTGATTTTATA